GGGGGCCTCTGTCGGGGGCTGAGGGACGAAGGGACCCCTTGCAGTCACCACGCCTTGCTGGAACTTGACCGCCATAAACCCTTTTGGCGTTCAGTATTTAACCTTTGCTTTTATCGGGCCGAGTGAAAGGCGGCCGCCCCTATCCGGCGTCGCACGGTATCAGCGACGCGACGCTTTGCTTGAATCACGTTTCGCTCGTGTTCGGCCGGCACGCGACAAGACACCTGTATGGGCGTTCATGAGTAACGCTGACGGCAGCGAGAGAGAAAGAGCAAAAGAGATACAGGGGCTCGTGAGTGGAAACAAACAAGAGAGAGAGAAGGTGGGACAGAGTGGACGGAGGACACGCAACAACACCTACCAGCCGTGCATTATGACGTCAGAGTCAGACGGCGCAGTGTCATGGGAGTGAGACCGATACAGTGCAAAATGCGAATAATGTGAATCACACGCGCTGAATGAAGGGCCGGCCCATCGTGCCTGCATATCATCCCAACTAGCCCCCGCTTGTCTTGTCGTAGATGTACGGTTCCGATCAGGTCCGCAGCAGCAGCGGGGAGCAGCGGTGCAAGGCGGAGGCAGCACAGGAGGTGCTGCTGACCAATTGCGTCACCCGCCGAGGGAACAAACGGCATTCCGATTGGGCCGCCATGTGAGCGAACTGTTGTGGCGCCAGAATGCATAGCCGCACGGCAACAACGAATGTCAGAACGCAAAACTACTTCATACGGGCGTGGGCGCTGTGTGCTCCACTTAGTGCCCAGATATAAGCAATGTCTTCTAATGCAACGGTCGTGTTCCGTTCAATGTAGAACATTTATTGAGCTTTTTTTGTTCATGAAAACGGTCTATTTTGTGTGCAAGGGCAAGATTTGCACACTGGTCACTACAAAATTAACTCGGTGCCACCACTAAATAACGATAAGCAAGCTCCTTTGGAGTTACTTGAAACATGCGATAATTTTACTCTCCTTTTACTTTCCCCACTGGTAAAACAAAGGCGTTAACTAACGCCTGAAATGAGGCGCTAAAAAAATGGTCTTATTTTACCGCCTTTCCTGGGGTGCTAAATCATAGCGCCTCTCCTAAGGCGTTAAAAGTTAAATGCCTGTGTAAAGGCGTTAAAATTATATTCCCCAGTATAAAAGGCGTTAAACTTATTAGATTTTTGTAGCAGATACATAATTTACGGCAATGTTACATCTAAAGATCTCGTGACAGATACAGTTTATAAATATATTGTACCTGAACCACTCTTCGATAAATGACAGTATATAGTTGTTCTAAGGAGTAAAGGAGGGGTGCCATTCCTTATACTTCTACATTTAGTAATGCACCAAAACACAGGCACAACAAATAGTTTCCTTTTAAAGAACAGTTTTGAAATGATGAGAATGAGAAAAAAACGCATCACCTCTGATTCTAGCTGGTCACTTCAAGTTATACCACAGAAGAGCTTTTTGCCTTTTTACTCCTTGATAGAAAAGAACTAAGAACTAACCTATTCTGTTAGAAGTCCAAGTTCCTTTGAAAGATACAGATTTTCGTAAGGTATCCCAGAACTTGAGTGCAGTAAATATGTCAATGGCAAATGGTGAAGTTCCATGGGAACAAGATTTGTCACACTTGAAGTCATGACAATACTGTTTTCAAAAGATAACCACAGAGATCAAAGAATTATTTCATTTCATCTCACAAACACAAACTTGCAACACTCTAACCAACGACAAACCAGGCGAAGTTTTAGTTTGTTTATCTACAATATCAATTATTCGCAGACACCCACTGCCTTTGCCGAATCAGGAATCCCTTTTCTTTCTTTACGGTCAGTTGGCTGTTTATGTTTACATAACCCACGATCACTTGTGTGTTTCGGTCGTAGAAATTCGAAAGCGAGGGGATGAAATGACGCAATAAACACAGTGCGGTGGAAAATAAATTGCGTATCATTTGTGTTTTTTAAAACTGTGAGTACGATTCTATATCACGTTACGTTGCTTTGTTGACTTGCCAGCTGATCTCGAAGTGCACGCCGCTTTGCAAGCAGACTTACTTTTCCTAGATCTCTATTTTCGCTTAATATTTAACGAAACCACACTTCCACTGAGACTGTTATTATCGCACGGCAACCTTTTGAACTGCTTGCGAATTCTTGTACTTTCTTTTCCTTTTCGTCTCCGCCAACTGCAGCAACTCCTTAACCTCTCCACCTTATTTGCTACCTCTGCTAACTCCTCCTTTATTTTGTTCTGTTTCATGTTTTCCGAGAGATTCAACCATGGAGTCAAACCGACGAATGTCACCCTCCAATATCTGAAACTTGAAGCCAACATCTCATCTCCTATAAATTGCAAGATGTTCCCATCATCGTAGATGGTGGTCATCGGTTACAAGTTGTGTTGTTCGCTACCAGGGAATATTCTATGTGAGTTTTCTCTATGAAAACAATTACTTTTGCTTTACTTCTAATTTGTAATTTATATTATCATTTATCCATGAATTTCCTCTCATACTCTATATTCTTTTTCTATCCAGGTTTTCTTCTTTCAGTGGAGCATAGCTGTGTAATTCTGCTATTGTGTTTAACAATAACATGTTCTGTCAGTTGGTACGTGTTTTTAAAGATCATGTATTAATTGCTATTGTAAACTGTCTCCAAAGCCAATAAATGCACTTCTAATTAATCCTCCTTACTTGTCCTGTCTGTTTTTACTTTTAGCATACAAAAGATAAGATAGCTAGCTCAAATTATTGGCTCTGTACAAGTGCCCCCAAAAAGGCATGCTGTTGCAGGCTTGTGCAGTTTTTGCTCCCAGGTGAGAGCCCTCAAGGTTTCTCGAGTCCAAAATTTGCATATTATTTCCAATTAAATTGCATTCATGCTTTGACAGATCTTAAGAATGGTTTCCTTCAGGAAGATTAGTCAGAGAACAAATTCAATTCAATTGGAAATAATGTGCATATTATGGACTTGAAAAACCCTGCGCTTGTGCGGGCTTCTCACCTAGGAGTGATAACTGCACAAGCTCGCAACAGCCTGCCTTTTTGGAGGCACTGCTCTGAACACTTCAGAACATATTTTGGAACTACTGCCTTGTCATGGCACTGCTTGGTACTTGAGATAGCAACTGTTAAATCGTTCCTCACATGTTTATTAGGTATTCCAAGAATGTTGAGAATTAGTTTGAGTTATGTAAATGAGACAGGACTAAGTCACCTCTTTCACGGTTTTCTGTTATGGCAGGTAAAACTGTCCTTCTTAATCAAGTTGTACAATAGGATTTTTCTTGGGTAAAATGAGAGGGAAAAGTATACAAAACAGACAATTTATTTTGTTCACTCAAAAATTAGACAAAATGTTGTAAAAAAAGCTAAATATCACAGGGGGGGTAAGTTGAACCACCATAAAACTAATGAATTGAGCAAAGATTAACATGTTCAAAAGTAAGATCAGAATAAAAATTCAATGGCAAAATATTGGTTAATCCAGCATGCTGAACTTGGGTGAATTGTTTTGGCGCAAAACAGCATAATCAGTGCCATTCACAATAAAATGCATAACAGGTACAAGACAGTAATTCTTAGTTAGGTTCAATGCACTGAAACAGCTGAACTGAGGACATTGAACTTTAAATGCATTAAATTCCACACAGAAACTAAGTGTCTTGAAGTTTCGGTAGATGAGCACATAATCTGAATTTATTTGGTAAATCTTTACAACAGCTGCAAAGATGTCATCTTCAGGTTTTGAGGGAACTTTGATGAAGGTACCATGTTCAAACTTCTGCCCATACCACTCTAGTGTGGATAGTTCACCAACTTTAGTCTCATTTGTGAGGCCACTAAGAGCAGACATAATACATTCTTTAAAAGGTAAGGCACTCAACAAAATTTGACCAGCTGGTGTAGCTTTAATGACCGAGCTGGTCAAGAAGGTGGGACCATGAAGATGGATGAGAAAGGCTTGTTTGGTTAATGTTCTTGAAATCAAAGAAAATATTAAGTTCTTAGCTGAGTGCAAAATTTTATGCAGTCTCTTCAATTGGGCATGATAAGCCTCAAACCTCATAGCCCAGGTCTCAACCAAAGGTCCAAATTGAATTATTTGGGAAGGTAGGTGTATCAAGAGGTGGTGTTTGGAAACAAAGCAATTAGGGTACAGAGCATTAAACTGCATCAGATACTGTCCAATCATGTCTCTGAGAAGCGCAACTTGATCTAATGTTACTTCACGAGCAACACACAAACCAAAAATCATTAGAAGGAGCACAAAGTTCTTCAGTTTTGCAGCATCACAGTGTCCTGCTACCATGAATGGAACTAATGAGCTCAACATAAGCATCTGTGATGAACTTTGTTTCAATCCATATTTCAAGTGATCAGGTGTGATTGGTGATGGCTTGTCAGTTTTGAACTTTCCATAGTCATGGTCACGAATGAAGTTGTTCACCAGTTTAAGTTTCAATTTCTTGTCTTCAATAGCATGCTTGATCAGAAAACGACAAGCTGTTGACAATATTCCTTCTAAAAATATATGCATGATGTCTTGAGGTAAGCAAACTGAAATACTAAAGTGGTTCAGTTGCAAGAGTGGACTTCTATTATTTACACCATAGAGAACAGAAGGATCCTTTGATGATCCCTGAATAGGGGTTGTTGATGTTCCCTCATCTTCAGTTGGTGTTTTACCTAATTCAGATAAAAAATAAAAACAAAAGATTAATTAAATAAATGAAAAGATAAATAAATTATGGTGATGAGACAGAAACTGAAAGAAACATACCTTTTCCATAATGGTTTTCAACTGCCTCAACATGTTTTACATGCATCTCATCAGTTCGGAGTGTGACATCAGATTCATAAAATATTTTGGAAAGTTCAGGGTTTGTAATCATACACCGACGGCAAGGGCGAAAAGCCTTTGATGAAGACTCCTTAAATCCGCCGATGTTTGCACTTGCAGGATAATCCCCAACACCACATATACAGCATCCATGGAATACTCGGGGCTTCTCTTTAATAATTAGTGTGACTCCTTCATCACTGCTAAGACGGTTCATTGCATAAATAAAGTTTCTAAGAAAAGCTTCATTATTTTCCTTGGCAACAGAAGACTTTGCAATAGCAAAAATATTGATGGCACGTAGTGATGCTCTCAGCTCTGGAGGTATATTAGCCAGTGTCCACAAATAATTTCTGAAGTTATGACCATGGTAACTAGTAAGAGTATCCCCAGGAGAAACATCATCAGTATAAAAAATAAACCCAAGGAAAGTGGATCTTGGATGTTTCAATTTTACTGGGTGGGTTTGGTAGTACTGTCCATCTAATATGCAACATAGTTTTTCAGCAGAGAACTTCTTAGGGTTGTCAATGCAGTCAAGAATGTCATCACACTGCAAAAGTGCTTCAAGCTGCTTCAAGAAGTCAACATAATATCCAAATTGCTCCGGGATCTCTTGAACTTTACCATGAAGGATAGCTCTCTTCCATGAAAGAACTATCTTGATTGGTACAAGGCACTTCCACTTAGCAGCTTGGTATTTTTTTCTTCTATGGAGTGTTTGAACACCTTCAAATAAAGTTTGCTGGTCCATAAGATCAAATAGAGACTCAATGTCTGCTTTAGTAACCGAGTCATCATCCGAGAGTGCTAGAATTTTTGACTGAAAATAGATAACAAAATATATTGTTATGATCACAATTTAAAGTTTATTAAATTCACAAAATAAGAAATGAAAAAAGACTACTATGGCCTACCTTCAAAAACTGGTTGTATAGTCTAAATAACGAATCAACACCAGAAACAACATTCTCTACAGCGGTCTCAGTAGTATGACATATTTCTTTAACATAGCACAGAAACTCAGCAGCCCTTTCCTGAATTGACACGGCATGTCTAAATGAAGGATGAGCTGAAAACAAAATAAAATAAGTTTTGAAAGACTGAAATTATAATCACGAGAAAGGTATAGGCTTAATTGTACAACACAAGTGGTCGAACACGTTCTTACCTTGCCTAACAGCATCCTCAATAGCAATGTCATCATCAGAAAGGTCACCAAAATCAATTTGCAGTGATTCGTCATCATCTGTGCTATCCTCTACGGCTCCAGCTTGTCCTAGGTCAGCCATCAGCGAACTAGAAAAACATACAAAAATAACATCACTTTAGTGAAATTTTACTTTGAGCTTGAAATTAAAAGCAGAAATGCAACTAAGTACAATATCAGAGAGAGGGGGTGAAAACTTTTATCGCCTGCAACATTTCTATTGAACAAGAGTAACAGCAAATTCTGACTTCATATTACAAAGAAACAAAAGTTTGTTAATAAAGCATTCCGGCAAAGCATTTCAGCTTTACCGGAATGCTTTATTGTTGCGCTACAAAGTCCAAAAGTTTCAAGTATTTCAAAAGAAAAATGTTGCAGCCAACAAATTGTTTCTATCTCAATCGCTGTCGAAAAGGTCTATCAAAGATAAAATGAAACAAACATAGTGTCCAGTGGACAAGCACATAACCTAACTTACCCCGAGATCAACAAAACAAGACTCAACACAATATTGACTTTCAAAAAGTTCATAATAAGATATCGAATAACTTAGCGTCCACCACAAGGCACCAAAGTTTTCCCGTCACGTCATTTTGTTTTGACAAGTTCTGTCTGACGAACTGGAGCGAAACGAGCGCTGGAGCCTGGCTTTGAGTCGAACGTCAAGTTTGAAAGAGAGGAAAGAGCAGCCTGCTTGAACTAGAAAAAAAAAAGTCAGTCACCCACCAACTTCCTAGTTTGGCTACTTTTCATTTAAATCAAATTAACGAAGAATTTTTTTTTAAAACTTGAAATGTACAAATTCTCTTACATTATCTTATTATACCATATCAATTTTATTTTTGAAAAGTTGCCACCATGCTAAAAGTTTAAAAGGCTAGGCCAACAGCTGATTGCTCCGCGCATCGGTTTAAAACGTTCAGGCCACAAACGACGAAACGGTCGGTTGCAAGTGGATGAATTGAGTTTTTAAATGAACTATGGAGCCGACAGGCATCGATATTTTGTTGAGAATTGGGGATAGGAGGATTGTTGTCACTTTGGATGTAAGTAATTGCTGCATTCAGTCGCTGCAGGAAAAATTTCAGACTCTCTGTGCAGAGGATAGGCTTCTAAGCAGCAGCATCCAGGGACACACAGCTGTTTTTCGGTTGTTTAACAAAAAGTTCAATGAGGATGTGGAACTAAGAAAAGACCACAAATTTCAAGATGGTCAGTTAGTGTCTGTTTTATTTATACCAAATCCAAAGGTATGTGACTGACAAATAAAGGAACACACAATATCTTTTTACATAGAAATGTACATATCATTTTGATTTCTCCAGGACAAAGAGGCAGAAACAGTTGAACTGGTGAGAGATGATTCTGGGGTAACACAATCACCTGATGAATTTAACACCCAAACTATTCACAAAATCCCAGATGAGCAACCATTAGATCGCAGCAATGCAGAATACGACAAGGACTTGTAAGTGAGCAAGCTCACTACAAGTTTTTGAGTGATTAATTGATCGTTTCTTAGGACAAATGACAGAGTTTCATTTCTTTTAAGCGATAAAAGACCGTGACATAAAAGAATTAAACTTAATTATTAATATAACTATTTTCTTTACCATTAGCGAAACTGGCATAACATCTGTTGAGGGAGGAGTATGCACCACGCAACAGATGAGAGACCCTGACAGTGCGTATGCTGCAGTGACCTATGTCTTGAATTCGTTTGATGCCTACTCGCCAGCACATTTGGCTGCTATTGAAAGCCTGAAAAAAAAAGCAGAAGCAGCATTAGTATCAAATGAAATAGAGAGCATTATGGCATTCATTGCAGGGACTTTGGATGCCAAAATTGTTTTATTCCAGAAATGTGACAAAACCCTGGTATTTAACCCTTTTGGCAGTCAACATGCAAGAATTGTTTTCAACCCAAACTCTAACCATTGTGATGCCTGTATTACGTTTGACACTTTCACAGGCAGTGACATGTAAGTTTACTAAACAAAAAGAATATGATCACATTATTTACTCTCAGCAAAATAATTTATATTAAAATTTCAATGTGACCATTTTATTTAAGAAGTGGCGAAGATGCAGAACAATATCTGGATATTCGTCAATATTTTACTGATTCTAAATGGAAGGCATTGAATCTTTGGGAGAAGGAAATGTACCGAGAACAGAAAAAGAAGTATGAGTACATGAAGATTGTGAAAATGCCTATTCCAGAGCCTGAATTTATGCAACCACCTCCAGAAAAGCCTAAGAAGAAAAAAAAAACAGTAAAGAAAGACCTTCCAAGCGTTGCTTCAAGTAGGCATTTTTTTCAGTGGAATCAAAATATGTCTTCATTAATATTTTTTTAAAAGTAAACAACAACATTCCTTTCTGATTATGTGGAAAACAGGGACATCAGATCGGTTGAAAGGCATTGTCCGTGATTATGCTGATGGAGAAGAGGACACTTCTTGTGAGATAGACAATCCAGAAGAAGAAGATGATGAGTTAGACAATCCAGAAGAAGAAGATGATGAGTTAGACAATCCAGAAGGGAATATTGTGGCAGACAATCAAGAAGGAGATGTTGTGAATTCAAATGAAGAAGGCAACTCACTGGTGATTATTTTATAAGCCTACTCCGTAGTTATTCTTAAACAAACATTAACATTTGTATATAGACATGGGTTGGGATGGCAAAACATTCAGTATTCTGAGGACTCGAATTGATTTCTAATATTTTTGTGCAGCAAGAATCAGATGATAAAGAAAACCAACAGCCAAAGAAGCCTGAGACCAATAAAAATCAGGTAATTAAAGAAAATTACCATTTTGGCACAAACATTTATAGTTGCTCTTTTCTCAAAAAGCTTTTTTTTTTTTTCAGACTTTTGGTTTAATAGGGACTAACATTGGGTACCCCTCTCCACTACCAACCTTCAGTGCTGCAGCAATAAGACAGCTCAAGATGCGAGCAAATAAAAGGAAAATGAAGACTATCAATGAGGAATGCAGAGTATTTGTAAAAAATCTAATTGGCAGTGAGTATCCTTCAAAAAAATCATATGATAACTTTTGTCGAACATTAGTAGAGAAGTATCCAAAAATGAAGGATGAAGAAGGAACAGATTTAATGTATTGGGTACGTGAAGCAATGAATTTTTTGTTATCTTACTAGACCAGCAATAGTCAAACATCCATTAACTCATGACATATTACTTTCAGGCAACATTTAAAATGTCCTTCAGATCCTCATTTAGAGGAACGAGAAGTTATGAAAAGAATGGACATAAACGCAAAGGGAAGAAATCAAAAAAGAAGTCAATAACACCAGACAACAATATGTCAATTGAAGAGGAGGAACGATGGTAAATACAAATATATGCATGCATGCATGCATATATAAACTTGATTACATAGGAAACTTTACTATCACTAACTTACTTTTAAATTGTAGTGAAAATTCCAATGAGGCATCAGCAGAAGAAGCAGCCGACTCTCAAGTTAGGAGTTCCAAAGAGGGCCTCAGTCGGTCCACTTTGCAGCGGCTTCTTAAAGCCTCCATTAATTGTAGGAAGTTAAAGCGAGCTGGCAATGGGCCCTCACAAAACTTGGAGATGTATCCTCATCTGAAAATACCAGAAATGGTAGGACATAAAAATTTAATCAACATTAGTTTGAAATGTGATAGAATGATAGAATTTAACATTAATAACACATTTTAACTGCTTCAGATGATTTGTGATTACCTCCTCCAGGAGGGCCTGAGTATTGATGAAATTCAGGTAAAATTCAAAGATAATGTGGATAAGATAGGAGTGCATTACCAGATTGTGCCATCTTCTGAGGTGGCTATACTTGAGATTGTATATAAGGTGCACACACACTTCTTATCAAGAGAGGTGCAGAAAGGTTCGCAGCCAGTGTTTATTTTAAGAAATGTAAGGTACCTGTATGAATTAAACAAATAATTAACTAATATATACTTATTGTGAAAGAAAAATCAAACTGAGAACATTTATGTTATGATCAGGAAAGTGAAGGAACTCCCCACCTATCATCTACTAGTATTCAGGCCCCTTTCCTCGTTGCTCTCACAAAGCAAGACTTTTGCACTGGTGAGCAATTGTTAAGAAGTGCAAGCATACTTATGGAGAACAGGCTTGTCAACTCCCTTGAAAAACCAAAAGCAGAACAAGCCGTACTTCTCCTAGTTGCTGCTTATTACACCCTGAATGCTGATTATCCAAAGGCTTACCTGGACTTCATGAAAGCACTTGAAAGGATGCTGATAGGGAGCGTTCCTGCTAGTCACTCAAGAAATCGAAAGGCATCGTGGAACAAATTTGTTGCCATGCTAAAATGATAATTTTTAACTTTTTTTAATAACATGAACTGAAATATATTTTTATTGATCATCGTTTAACTCAAGTAGTTCAGTCAAAAATGCCTTATGTTTATCAGGTGAGTAATCACTTGATAATACAAGGTATTCTAACCTGAACTACTTAATGTTTGACTACCATGTTTTTGCTGAGTTTGTTGAGTTGTTTCTTTTTGTTGTTGATTATACGAACAAATACCTGTACACTATTGTTTTAAAGTATTAGACAAGTTAAATCTTTTCTGCTTCCTTATTATTAATATAAATGTTGTCGTGAATTTCCTTGGTAACCAGAGGCAGAGACCTAGACCTATAGTCTGCTCAGCCTCAGCTGTCCCCCTCTCTCCTACAAGTACGTTCTTATGCTGCTCGCACTATACACAGTGGCTATTCACACCACAAACATAAACCTGAATTTATAGTGCGACTAGTCTCTGCTGATCTGGCTATACCGGTGCCAAGAATAAATCCAAGATATCGAAAGTTAACTCGTTAACTCACGACTCACGGCAAAAAATATTTAAAAGGCAGTGAAGTGCGATGTTTTGGAGTTAGCCATTCGGGTACAAGTTTCAATACGACATAAATTTATCGTTTTGAGTGATTTTTAATGATAATTGACCCTTGTTGTGGACCCTTTTACCTCAAGTCATAAACAGGGTTAAACAATCCTAAAAAACGAGACTTGTCAGTTCATAGATTTCATAGTATTTCCTTTGACATCCGAACGTCTTAACCTAGGCCTACACCATGGAGTACTGATGAACTGTCCATGCAAAGTAAGTGTATTCAACCCCTCTCTTTCACATTGTTTGATAGTTACAAGAGTATAATTTCACAATTTTTCACAAACATTGAAATGTTATATTACTGCAAGCAAGCCACTAAAGCCACCATGGAATGAAAGGTGAAATAGAGTGATTTTTAATTGAGATAAATAGCGTCTGTACCCTAGCAGTGATCAACCATTAGTAAGGCCAGAGAAAAGATTCATGAATTTTTTTATTAGCTATTGTGACCTATTAATTTACAATTAATCAAAGTGTTGTATCTTTTATTGCGTCATATCGTAAAAGATTCGCAACTAATTTAACATTTCACATTAAAGGCGCTATTTTTTAAAGGCGCTAAATGTCAAAGGCGGGAACTTCTGAGCAACCCCAACAATTTAGCGCCTTTAGAGAGGCATCAAACTGTAGCGCCTTTAGTAAGGCGGGGAATTGGAACCCCGCCTTTCAAAGGCGTTAGTTAACGCCTTTGTTTTACCAGTGGAAACGAACACTTTCCAGACGCCATTATTTCAA